AATTTTTTTTTTTTTTTAAAGGAGGCTCCATGCCCAATGTGGGGCTTGAACTCACGACCCTGAAATCAAGAGTCACATATTACACCAACTGAGCCAGCCAGGTGCCCCAAAATTATTTTTCCAATCTCATTGTTCAAGATTTTTAACATTTTTTATTTTAGAAAAAGAGAGTGTGAGTGACTGGGGGAAAAGGGCAGAAGACAAGAGGGGGAGGGGGAGAGAGACAGAGAGAACGAGAATCCCAAACAGGCTCCACACTCAGCACGGAGCCTGACACAGGACTTGATCCCACGACGCTGGGATTGTGATCTGAGCCTAAATCAATGGTGAAAAGCTCAACCAACTGAGCCACTCAGGTGCCCCAAGATTTTTTTTAATAGTAATTTCTATACCCAACATGGGGCTCAAACTCATGACCCCAAGATCAAGAGTCACACACTCTTCCAAATGAGCCAGCCAGACGCCCCTCATAGTTTCAGACCTAATGACCTGTTCCTCGTAGGTAGTTCCTCAGACTGCTTATCACAGCTTTATTATAATCTCTAGATGGCAACTCCAGACTACAACTCAATTTACATCTCTCTAATCTTAATCGGGTGAAAACTCAAGTTCCATTAGAAATGGAAATGATTCCACCACTTGCTACTGGTATTATTTTTAACGATCAGATTACCATAAATTGTATGTAAGCTAAAAAAAATACATACTGTGAGAAAATCCTGCTCAAATTTGTACGCTCCACCTCCAGTGGCACAAAAGACAGTGTGAAGACTCGAGAAGTTTTTATCTCTGCCCATCTGAATAAAAGCAGGCATGTCATGAGTGGGAAAGCGTATAAAGTGCAGATTGCCCTTGCGTCCACACAAAGTCAGGTCCTTCAGCTCCAGGTGCACATCCCGAATACCTGTGGACCCATAAGCCACATTGGAGGTCAGGTACTTCCGAATGCTTTTAAGACTTTCCACCTCTTCTTCTTCTTCTTCAGCAGTGATGTCTTTGGGTTCAAAATAAACCAGCTTAACCAGGGTTCCACCAATATCCAAGCCAAACCATGGAAAAACTAAATGGGAAAGGAAAAAAAAAAGTCAGAACAACTTTTTTTTTCTGAAAACTAAACACATACGTACTAGATTAGCAATTTATTCATGCCCTGAGGTTTCCAAGGACTAGAGAAACAAAAAGGGCGTTGGGAAAAGAAACAGGATTCTGTCTGATCTGGAAAATATCTTTAAAAAAAAAGTCACTGGCACAAAAACAGACACTCAGATCAGTGGAACAGAATAGAGAACCCAAAAATGGACCCACAAACGTATGGCCAACTAATCTCTGACAAAGCAGGAAAGAGTATCCAACGGAATAAAGACAGTCTCTTCAGCAAATACTGCTGGGAAAACTGGACAGCAACATGCAGAAAAATGAGCCTCGACCATTTTCTTACACCATACACAAAAATAAACTCAAAATGGATGAAAGACCTAAATGTAAGACAGGAAGCCATCAAAATCCTCGAGGAGAAAACAGGCATAAATTTCTTTGACCTTGGCCACAGCAACTTTCTTACTCAACACGTCTCCGGAGGCAAGGGAAACAAAAGCAAAAATGCACTATTGGGACCTCATCAAAATAAAAAGCTGCACAATGGGCGCCTGGGTGGCTCAGTCGGTTGAGCATCCGACTTCGGCTCAGGTCATGATCTCATGGTCTGCGAGTTCGAGCCCCATGTCAGGCTCTGTGCTGACAGCTCAGAGCCTGGAGCCTGCTTCTGATTCTGTGTCTCCCTCTCTCTCTGCCCCTCCCCTGCTTGATCTCTCTTTCTCTCTCAAAAATAAACATTAAAAAAAATTCCCCACTTTACTTGCTGAACTTCTAACCCACATGAATGTTTACAAGCACTTACACTCCACATATGTGACGAAGGTAAAACTGCCTCCTAACCCCCTTACAGCACCTATTTCTGTTTACAAGTGCGTCCAGCCCTGCAAGTCCTCCCCGTTTAAGTCAACTCTCACTTGATTACATTTCTACTCAATTTATTCTGATCCACAGCAAAGAGGGAAATTAACAGGTAACTTCATCTTAATCCTTAATCCCTAAGTAAGAATATTAAATTACTCCTCTGACCAAACCCAAGCCCTTGAAGTATTCATCACTGTCCCTATGGCACCTGCTCATGCCCTCTCTGAGATGAATTAAAAACCAACTTCCTGCATGTGAATCTGAATTTCCTCTTCTGTATCTCCTTTTCTGTATTTTCATTTCATCATTTTACACTGGTGGCCTAGTGGAGCCCAAACAGTTGGTCTCCTTTTTCCTTCTACAGTTTTTTTTTCCTTTTCCTTTCTAGAATTCCTGTCATCCTGAAGTGTCCTGCTAATTCCTAATGAATCCCAGCCCCTAAGTGATAGTTAGACAAATAAATGCATAGCTAATTTCACTAATGCAAGGTATTCATAACATAATGTGTTACACCAACAAGCAAACCCAGTATGTTAAGAAATTTGATTCACATTAAAAGTCAACGCACATTAAAAGTAGGGATGCCTAGGTGGCTCAGTCAGTTAAGCGTCCAACTCTTGATTTCAGCTCAGGTCATGATTTCAGTCATGAGATTGGTTGTGAGATAGAG